GTTAAGGTACTAAAACAGCCTTTCTTGTAAGTCAAATAAAAGTTTTTGTAGACGTTTTCCCTAGCCCTAAAATCTATGACATTTTACAGGATCTAAATTATTATGTTTGGATCATGCCATTATAATTCATCAAAGTATAAGAACTAAATTTCTCCCTAACACTCCTTAACTATTGAGTTCACCTTGAGTTTTTAATATCTGTTGGTATTTATTTTTTTAATTAGTGATCCATTCTGGTTACTTTGTGGGAATAGTGTACACTCCCATGCACCATGAGTTTATAAAGGCAACTAAAGGAAATTGTCGGTATCACAGAATGCATACTGATTGTAAAGTCCTGTCTCCTAGAGTCATTAACTCTTCTCAGTCAAATAGAGGGCAGGGAAAAGTGAAGAGTAGAAGCTGACAGTGACATTTTTACCTTAGGTTTCTGGGCAGATAATGAAACAGGAAAGAGAGAAGGAGAAATTTGATGAATCTGATATAGGTATGTTGAGTTTGAAGTGTTTGGAAAATACATGTGGAAATATTTGGCAGACACATGAAAAACCGGTCCAGAACTGAGCACATACAAGTTAGTGCCAGAGATGTACACTTGAGAATAACTTGCTAACAAGAGCTTCATGTGTTTACAGTGAGTTCTCTCAGTAGGTACTGAGTTTTTTCTGACAGATGGCATTAAGGTTGTGTGGCTACTTGTTTGGATTTAAAGGGAATTTCAAGTAGTACAAGAGTAGTTGGGCTAGTTAAAAATGCGCTACAGCCCTCAGAGACCAGAAACACTCAATCTGCTAAGAAATAGAACTCAATGCAACTGAATGTTAGTTGAAATTGAAACACAAATTCACTTAAAGGTGAGTGTTCCTGAAAGTATGAAGAAATTATAAAGACCTCAGTTCAAACCAACAAATAGACACAGGTCAGAGTAAAATGAAATGACTGCAATCATGATACCTGAATGTGGTTGCTAACTAATGTATATGAAGAAGGATTATAAATTGGTAAAATTGGTTTAAAGAGAAACCTAGGGAAGAAATTTCATTACTTTGTAGTTTTATCTTATACATAATCAAAATGATTAAGATAAATAAAACTGTTGGGTTTCACTTCATTCTTTTTTTTTCCTGCTTAGGAGTATTAAAGACTATATATTTAAAGTTATAATCATTTCCTAAATAATATGACCATTTCCTAAATAATTAAGATATGACTGTTGGTTTATAAAATACTCAGTATAAGAAACCAGGATTTAATGCTCATTCATTTTACATATTCATTTATGAAGTCAGCAGTTTACTGAAGAAGCAGATCAGGGTGAGGAGGGCGCAAGAGAAGGATGTGTATTAAAAGTGCAGAGTTGCACAGTGGCTTGGAGAATTAAAGGAACTTGAGTCAGTTCATGGGAGCTCTGGTGGCATAGTGCCTAAGGCATTTGACTGTTAACCAGAAGGCTGGCAGTTCAAACCCACTAGCCACTCCTCAGAAGGAAGATTGGGCAATCTACTTCTGTAGTGATACTGCCTCGAAAACCCAAGGAGGGATTACTATGAGTTGGATCCAACTCGATGGCAGTGAGTATGGTTTTTGGTTTTGAGTCAGTTCACAGGGGCTTGATGAAAGGGGTTTCCTGGAGAAGTAGGTTGGGGTCACATCTTGTGTTCGTACGAAGAAATTTAGACTCTATCTAGTAAGTAATGGAAAGTCATTGAAAGATTTTAAGCAGAGGATTGACATGAGCTAGTCTATATTTTAGAAAGATGGCTGTGAGGCTGTATGGAGAAGTTTCTTCTAGAGGAAAGAAAACCAGTTAAGATGCAATTGAGAGAGCTTGGGTGAGAGGATGGGGGCCTGAACAAGGTGAAGGAATTAATGAGAGGTGATCAAAAGTAGAATTAATGGGACATAGCGGCTTTCTGGGTGTGGGAAGTAAAAAGCATATTTCTGAGATAACTCTCAAGGTTTGGTTGGGGTGACTGCATAATGTTAGAAACCTTAATTGAGACATAGGAGAGGAGGTAGTTGAGAGGAAAGGGAAAAGTGATGAAGTCATTTGAAAAGTTTGAGATTTTTATGGTGCATTTAGGTGGAGTTGAACAGCTGGTTACTAAATATGTGGGTTTGGAACCTGAAACTAAGATCAATTTCAACTTGGAGGGGATGCTTTTTACGTGTGTGTCTTAGTTATTCTGCTATAGCAGAAATACAACAAACATAAATAAACAGGCTTTAACAAACAGATTATTATCATTATTATTTTCACAGTACAGGAGGCTAGAAGTCTACATTTAGGTACAGGTACTAGAGGAAGGCTTTCTCTGTTGGCTCTGGAGGCAGGTCCTTATCTCTTTTCAGCTTCTATTCCTTGACAATCATGTGACAATCATCCCCCATCTCTCCTTGCTTGCTTGCTTGCTTGCTCAGCCTGCTCATATAGTTCAAAAGGGACTGACTTAAGATACAACCTACACAAATCAAAAACCAAACTCACTGCCATCAAGTCAATTCTGAATCCTAGTGACCCCCACTGGGTTTCCAAGGCTATAAATCTTTATGTAAACAGACTGCTTCATCTTCCACAGAGCAGCTGGTGAGTTTGAATCACTGACCTTTGGTTAGCAGCCACCTTAACCACTATACCATCAGAACTCCTTAACCTACACTAATACTTCCCCATCAATATAACAAAGAAAACACATTCCCAAATGGGAATATAATCACAGATATAGGGGTTAGGATTTACAAAATATTACAATACATATTCAAGGGGGACAAAATTCAGTCCATAACAACATGCAACATAATTATCATTCCCAGACATTACTTCACTGGTATACTGGGTTGTAACCACTATTTCCTGTCTTCCTATTACTAAGTTTACTTTCTTGTTTTGCTGGAGTACATTGTTAAGTAAATGGCTAAAAAAAAAAAAAAAAAAAAAAAGATTGAGAGCCCCTACATTTCTGAAAATAGCTTTGTTTTGCACTTAATCTAGTTTAGCTGAGTATAGAATCCAGGTTGAAAATAATTTTCCATCTAAACTTTGCTACTGAGCAGCTGGATGCCAGTTTGGTTCTTCTTTCTTTGTGGGTAACTTGCCCCACTCTCTGTCATTTCCCACTGGAAATTTTAAGATCTTACTTTTGTTCCTCATGTTCTGAAAACTCACATTCTATTTCAGCATTCAGACATTACCTTGTATTATTTCATTGATGATTTCCTTCCCTTTATTTTCCCTACTCTTCCCCCCGCCCCAGGATTCATATTAGCTGGGGACTGCAGACCCTATGTTAGTATTCTAAATCTCTTATTTTCCTTTTCTTTCTTTCTTTTTTGGTATTGTGGGCGTAACTGTTTTGAGAGGTTGCTGTTTCCTGTTCTATACTTTTTGTCTTTAAGCATCTTACTCACAAAATAAAACCTATTCTGTTATTTTTTATTTTATAAATAGAAGACTTTTCAGTTCCCTGTATTTTTCTCTTCCTTCCAGGGACAGTTTTGTTGTTGTTGTTTTTGTTTGTTTGTTTTGTTCTGTTTTTACTGTTAATTCAACTTGGTCTTTCTTTTCTATTGTGCTTGTTGTATTCATATGCCTGGTGATTTCTGGTATAATATTTAAGAAATGTCTAGGGAATGGTGTGGATTTTCTCTACTGTTGTATGAATAGGTTTGTTTTCATGTCAAGTGCCTCCTCAGTGGGAATGCAGACTGGTGGCTCTGTATGTGGTATGGGAGGACAGGAGGACCGGCAGACTTCATTTTAGGAAGAGAAGGCAGGAGTAGACTATTAGATTGTGCCCTCCCAAATGTCAAGAGAGGAAGGTTTGGTGTTGGCTGCAATGTCCAAAACGCCAGAGCAGTCTACTTCAAAAGTCATTAGTGCAGGTGGCAGGCCACACACTCCCTTGGCAGCTGAGAGGGAGAAAGGATCCAGAGGAAACCCCATGGATCTGAGCCCTCTTTAGCAACATATCCTACAAGAAGTCATGTAAGGCCCACCTCCCTATATATACATCAAGAATCTATCTTGGAGTGGAGAACAGGAAAGGGATGGAAATCTGAAAAATGGAGGAGTTATCCAAAAGACACTGTCATTCTAAAGACATAATTTAAATCATCAGAGAATGAGGTTAGAATGATCTAGCCTTACCCCTATCACCCAGGAGAATGGGAGCTCATAAGGAAGAGCAGATCAATTTTAGGACATAAAGAAGCTTTGCACATTTGAGTACAAGAACTCCTTACTTATTGACTATCTCATTATCTGACATTTTGTATTTATGACAATACCTACTACCCATTTCCACTGAGTAGATGCTGACTCACAGCTACCCCCATTGGGTTTCCAAGGTGGTAAAACTTTACGGAAGGAGACTGCCCTATCTTCCTTTTCTGGAACAGCTGGCAGGTTTGAACCACCAATCTTCTGGTTGGCAGTCAAATGCCTTAGGCAATGCACCATGAGAGCTCCTTTTCACCATGATAGTAAAGAATCTATTGTCCAACTATTTTGTGTGTTATCGACATACACCTGGCAGTAATGAACACTGAGTGTGAGGTGAAAGTAATGCTGATTGTGATGGTTAAGGTTATGGGTCAACTTGGCTGGGCTATGATTCTCAGTGGTTTGGCAGTTATGTAATGATGCAATTAGGCATTTATGTAATAGTGCCATCAGCCTTCATTTTGTGATCTGACATGGTCATCCTCAATTTTCACACAATGCCAATTTTTGCATAATGATCTGGTCTTTCAAACCTAACTATGTTGATAAGTGAGGAATAAGCGTATATTGTGTGAATTGTGACCTCCAAAAAAATATTTTTGGTTGTTTTCAGATTATTTCTGGTATTTGTTGAGTAATAGCTTATAATAAGTATAATCTCCATTTAAATGCCATTTTACCTTAGTCAATCACAGTTCCATGCTTTTCCCATGACTTCAGTTGTGTAAATAGCAGTCATTTCCAGTGCAAAAGAGATTGTTTTAAAAATTCCACTTACTTCTTTTTTTAGCCAGTCATTCTCCCAGATCTCTCGATAGCTGCCCTTGTCAATGAACTTTACAGCATTCTAAAAGAAAGTTTCTATATTAGGGAAGAGTTGTCACATGGTGATTCACAATTTTAGCAATGGTGATGCACAATGAATTTATTTGATCTTTCATTTTAAATTATATTTTACACTTACTTTGGGAACTTACCTAAAAACTTTTGGTTTTGTTGTTATTTCTTTGTTATTATCCTGTTGTATTGTTGTTGCTGACTTACACTACCTAATACAGCTTATTTGGAGAACTGGACAATGGTGTGTCACTCCATTCAATTTGGCCTCTGTTATGACTAAATCTGACTTCAATGGTAAAATCAATCATTAAGTGATCTGCTTCATAATTAAGATGGCTAAACTGTAGGAATCAAATATTCTTCAAGTTTCTAGGCACAGACATAATCCAATGTGTAGCATGAATATGTTAACATGAATATATTACATTATTACGTCTTTTTAATTTGAAAGATTTCTGCATGTCAATAATAACAATACACATATTTACAACCCTAAAAAAATAGGTTAAGGGTAGCAGGAGAATCTCCTGAAAAAAAATTTAGAAGAAGAAAAGCAGAAAATTCTTACTTTTCACTAGATTAATAAAATGTTAATTCATTTTCAACTCCTTGGACATTTTCAACTCTGTGTGATAGTTAAGTTTGTGTATCAACTTGGCTGGATCTGGTTGAGTGGCTGGGCAGCTGAATGCGTTATTCCCCATGGTGAGACTGGTAATTATCTCCATGGTGGAATCTATTGGAGCAGCTGAGTAGCTACTTTGGGTATGTGGTCTGCTTCCCGTATATAAGAAACAGCTTTGGGAATGGTCTCTAGCATATGGCATGATTGAACCCTGCATGTAGTTGTGTTGTTTCTAGCAGCCTGCCATGCTCTGCTGACCTTGGGACTTTTAATGGACTTGAATGAATGGCCTGTCATGTGGTTTGGTAACATCGGGACTGTGCATTTTTAGTTGTCAACCTTGGGCTTGTCAGCCTCAGCAGCCAGTAGCTGTCTGAGTGAAGAAAAGCCTCTAGGTTCAGTGGGCCGCTAGCAGGAGGCAGAGCTGAAGCCCAAGGCTGAGGGGCTTTCACCCAGCCCCTAAAGCCTGGCACTTTGAACTTGGACTTAAAGCCTCCAAACTGTCAGAGAATAAACTCCTGTTTGTTAAGGCCATCCCATTTGTGGTATTTTCTTGTCGGAGCAGCACTAGGTAACCAGAACACAGTTTCATGTAGAAAAGCTTTATAGTACGTAACATATCATATTTATCGGTGAGATACTTTTATATGAATGCCAAGTTACAAATTAAATATTCAGTGACTGAAAGACAACCAAAAGAAAAGAAATTACAAAAAATACTCTAGATCCTAAAAGTGTTACTGTTAGGTGCCATTGAGTCATTTCTGACTCATGGAGGCCACATGTACAACAGAGTGAAACAGTGCCCAGTCCTGCACCATCCTCACAGTCTTTGCTATGCTTGAGTCCATTGTTGCAGTCATTGTGTCAATCCATCTAGATCATAAACATGAACATAAGTAATTTAAAAGTTAGGATGCCAAGGGTAAATTTTTTTTGTTAAGTCTTTAGAATTGGAAGAGTTTCAATCAAGAACAAAATTTTTTAAAAATCATTGTAATTAAACTAACTGCTAGAAATTCATGCCAGATTCAAAGAGGACATGGAACAATGTAATTGCTGATGTCAGGTGGATCTTGGCTGAAAGCAAAGAACACCAGAAAGATTTTTCCTGTGTTTTAATGACTATGCAAAGGCATTTGATTGTGTGGATCATAAAAAATGTGGACAATGTGTGAAGACTGGGAATTCCAGAACACTTAATTGTACTCATGAGTATGCTGTACATAGACCAAGAGGCAGTTGTTTGAACAGAACAAGGGGATACTACATAATTTAAAATCAGAAAAGATGTGCATCTGGATTGTATTCTTTCACCATACTTACTTGATCTGTTTGCTGAGCAAATAATCTGAGAAGCTGGACTATATGTAGAAGAACGTAGCAATAAGATTGTAGGAAGACTTATTAACATCCTGTGATATGCAGGTGACACAACTTGCTTCCTGAAAGTGAAGATGACTTGAAGCATTTACTGATGAACATCAAAGACTATAGCCTTCGGTACGGATTATACCACAACATAAGGAAAACAAAAATTCTCACATATGGACCAATAAGCAATATCACGATAAATGGAGTAAAGATTGAAGTTGGCAAGGATTTCATTTTACTTGGATTCACAATCAATGCCTATGGAAGCAGCAGTCAAGAAATCAAATGATCTATTGCATTGGATAAATCTGCAGCAAAAGACTTCTTTAAAGTGTGTAAGAGCAAATACGTCACTTTGAAGACTAAGGTGCACTTTACCTAAGCCACGGTATTTTTAATAGCCTCATATGCATGTGAAAGCTGGACAATGAATAAGAAGACCACAGAAGAATTGATGCATTTGAATTTTGCTTTTGGCAAAGAATGTTGTATCAGAGACTGCTAGAAGAATGAACAAATCAGTCTTGAAGGAAGTACAGCTGGAATGTTCCTTAGAAGCAAGAATGGTCAGACTTCATCTCTTGTACTTTGGTCGTGCTGTCAGAAAGGACCAATTCCTGGAGAAAGGTATCATGCCTGGTAAAGTGGAGGGTGAATGAAAGGGATGTTTGGAATACATTAAAGACCCTCAATGCAATGGATTGACGAAGTGGCTGTCACAATGAGCTCAAGCAGAGCAACAAACGTAAGGATGGTGCAGGACCATGCAATGTTTTGTTCATTGCTTTGAGTTAGAATTGACTGACTGGAACCTAACAACAGCAACTAAACTAAGACTAGACCTGTATTTTGTAGGAACCAGGTACTTTTATGGGCGCTCTGGTGGCATAGTGCATCTGACTGTTAACCAGAAGACTGTGGTTCAAACCCACCAGCCACTCCTTGGAAGGAAGATTGGGCAATCTACTTCTGTAGTGATACTGCCTTATACTCCAACTACAAGTAATCTAAAGGTGCTTCCAGCAAATAACTTCATTTGTAAGAAAACAGTTCAGTACATAACTGGAGTTAGTTGGCTAGCAGCTTAATACACTAACAATGCAGCAATGTTTTTCAAATTTGACTACATTTTAGATTTTCCTGGATATCTTGAAAAATCCCCAAGCCTAGGCAACAAAACAAACCCACTGCCATTGAGTCAATTCTGACTCATTCCAAGGCTAGAAACCTTTACAAACGTAGATTGCCTTATCTTCCTCCCACAGAGCAGCTGGTGGGTTTGAACCAGAGCTCCTTATCCAGGCCAATGATATTAGAAGCTCTATGGATAGGACCCAAGCACTAGCATGTTAAAAAAAAAAAAAAAAAAAAAATTACTCTCATATGTTTTCAACACACGTTGTAAAGTACAAAGCACTGAATTACAGGAAGCTGAAATACATGCTGAAATAGTCAGATAAAATGAAAACTCTTTCAAGCATGCAGGATACAGGATTATATGAGGAAAAAAATACATAGCATAGTGATTAAGAGCAATGATCTGAAGGAGGCCCGCACCATCCTTACATTTGTCGCCATGCTTGAGCCCACTGTGGCAGCCACTTTGTCAATCCATTGCATTGAGGGTCTTTAATATATTCCAAATATACCCTTTCATTGACACTTTACCAAGCATGAAATCTTTCTCCAAGAATGGTCCTTTCTGACAACATTACCAAAGTACATGAGATGAAGTCTGACCATTCTTGCTTCTAAGGAGCATTCCTGAAGACCTCTTGAATTGAATCCTGATTCAATCACTTTTCACTTTCTAGCTCTGGTCTCTATGCCTCAGTCTCATTATAAGCAACTCTCTACTTTGTAGAATTGTTGAGAGACTTAAAGGTGAAGTATTTAGAGCCATTTCTGGAATAATCCTCATCATATATGCTTGAAGTCTTTATACTTGAAGAATATTTGATATGTATTTGTGTTTTTTAAATAATTTTTTAATCATATAGAAATTCAACAATTTCTACATGGACAATTCAGTGATATTGATTACATTCTTGAAGTTGTGCAACCACTCTCACCCTCCTTTTCAAATTGTTCTTCCCCTGTTAACATAAAATCACTGCCTCCTAAGTTTCCTAACTAATCTTTCCAGTTGCTATTGTCCATTTGATCCCATATAGATAGTTTTTTAAAGAGCATGTTTTAAATAATCGTAACTATAATCAGATCACATCATGGTTGATTTCAACATTTAGTTCAATTTAGTCACAAAATGGCCAAATGGCATGGACAATCAATCTACTGGTCAGTTCTCTAAAATCCTCTGTATTTGTGTAAATCATTAAAAATCATGCAGTTGGCTAATAAAACTAATTCTTCTCACTGCCGTGAAGTCTGATCCAATTCACAGCGACCCCTTCTTGGTTTTCTGAGGTGGTATCACTACTGAAGTAAATTGCTCAATCTTCCTTCCAAGGAGTGGCTGGTGGGTTTAAACAGCCAGCCTCCTGGTCCTCCTGGTTAGCAGTCAAATGCCTTAGGCACTATGCTACGGGGGAGGTGGACAACCAAAACCCAAACTCACTGCCATCAAGTCAATTTCAAGTCATGGTGACCCCCTTTGGGTTTCCAAGGCAGTATCTCTACGGAAGTAGATTGCCCAGTCTTCCTTCAGTGGAGTGGTTGGTGGGTTTCAACTGCCGGCCTTCTGGTTAGCAGTCAAATGCCTTAGGCACTATACCACCAGAGCTCCTTAACTGGTTAATAGTAACACTGAAAAAACAACTGATCCAATGGGGAAACAATAAGCCATAGCTGCTGAAATTCAGTGAAGAACTCTAGAAAGAACTAGACATTTATAATTCTGAAGAAGAGATGTCCCAGACAAAAAGTTAATTTCAACAGGACCCTCAGTGATTTAGGAGATTGTCTGAAGATAGAGGAAGGCCAATAAAGAAAAAGGAAAATGAGGTATTTTGTGTATACAAAGAAATGAGAAGGCATATAAAATTGGAGATTCTCTTTTTTAAAAAATGTATTCCAAATTTTTAAAGCAGTAGCAACAAAGTGTACTTTCTCAGGTTTAGGTGTGTAAGAAAGTGCTTCTAGACAAATTACATTCTATTCTGTCATTCATCCAAACTATTCTGATAATTTGGTATCATCATCATCATTATACTTGAAAAATAACAATGTAATGATAATTTATTGAGCTCTTGCACCTTCTGAGGAACTATATTACTTAAATTATCTAATTTAACCTTTACAGCATCTCTTTAAGGTAAATACTGTTGCTGTCTCCATTTTATAGATTAAGAAACTGAAGCTCAGAAAAATTAAGTAACTAATTCAGATTATACAGCCAACAATTTGCAGAACTGGGATTTAAACTCAAACTGCCTAACTTTAGAACCCAAGTTCTTAACCATTATAATTTATCACGAGAAAAAAAAATGGAGCTAAAGTTATTTTTTAAAGAAAATGGAAATATACCTGTGTGGCCCATTCCTTCTTTTGGTCCAGTTGCAACAAAGTTTCTCTGATTATTCTCTTTCTAGCATCTTCCAGAGTGATTTTATACTGGTCTTTAAAAAGAAAATTAGAAGCCTTAGCAAGGCTGATACTAGGTAAAACTGTGATAGTAAATTTTATTTTCCATAAACTTTACCTCTCTTTCCTCATTTTTTTTTTTTTCCTGAAATTTCAGGGCACATATATACTAAAGCATCTAGTTCCTCAATTAGAAGACAAACTTCAATAACTCTAAGAAAACCCCAAACCCATTACTGTCAAGTCAATTCCAACTCACAGTGACCCTACAGGACAGAGCAGAAATGTCCCTTAGGGTTTCCAAGGCTGTAAATCATTGGAAGAAGACTGCCACATCTTTTAAACTCAGAGTGGTTTGTGGCTTCAAACTAGTGACCTTTCAATTAGGAGCCAAGTTCTTCTTCTTCTTCTCCTCCTCCTCCTTTCTTCTTCTTCATTTTTATTATGATTTGGGTAAAAGTTTACAGAGCAGATTCATTTTCCACATAGTAGTTCATACACATTTTGTTTCATGACATTAATTCCCCACAATGCAATGGCTCTCTTCTCACTTCCTCCCCATAGTTACCTCTTCCCTGTGTCTTTCCCTCCCATGTACTCCTGCCTCCTGAGCTGTCTTCTTCTGCAAACACTGCCCTTCTGTTCTTCCATGATTGATCGCTCTAAGGAGTGTATCTACCTAATGTAAATGTTCACGCCATATGCCTGCCTATTATTCGGCTGGAAGCCACAGGAGTGGGTTCAATTCCAGACCTGAAGGGTTAACTAGGGACCATAGTCTCAGGGGTCTCACCAAGCTCCATCAGACCAACAAACCTTTCTTTTTTTTTTTTTTTTTTTTTTTTTTTTAATTAGGATTTGGGTAAAGATTTACAGAGTAAATTCACTTTATCCAGGATCTCCTGTACCAATCCTCTCTGAGTGGTTAACAGTAGTAGCTAGGCACCATCTAGTTCTTCTGGTCTCATGGTCATATAGGCTGAGGATTGCGTGGTCAGCCAGTCTCTTGCACTAAATGTTTCCATGCATCTTTGGTTTTCTTCATTCTTCTCTTTTCTGGACAAGGAGAGACCCATCGTTGCATCTAGATGGCCATTTGTAAGCTTTTAAGACCCCAATTGCTACTCACCAAAGTAGGATGTAGAACAATGTTTTTGTGTAGTGTGTTGTGCCAATTGAGCTTGATGTCCCCTGTGATGATGGTCCTGAGCCCACAGGTCCAACTACTTGATCCCTCAGGGTAGCTGACTGTGGCCAAGAAGCCACAACAACCTTGCCCCTTGTCACCTCTACTATACACCTGGACATTCTTACAGCTCATACAAATAAACATGTAGAAACTTTGTTAACCCTATACATGGTCATGGGCACAGTGCCCCCTGCCTAGACATACCTGATCATTCAGCCTGTCCACCCATGTATCTACCTGTAGATCAATGCTTGCCATCACTGACAACATAGTGCTGTACATGCAAAAGGGTTTATCTTTGTTGTCTGTACCTCCCATGTACCCCTCTATGTCTTCCTCTTCCTCAGTGCCACCATGTTGATCACTCACTTTTGGTACATTGCCCTTCCCTTCACCCAAATCAATACTTGTCTCTACCTATCTAGCAGTGTTCCCTCTCCTCTCCTCCCCTCCTATCCCTGGTAACTAACAAAGAAAGCCTTCTTCCATGTGTAAACCTTTCCTTGACTTTTTAAAATAGTAAATTAATACAATATTTGTCCTTCTGTGACTGACTTATTTCACTCAGCATAATCTCCTCCAGGGAGCTCTGGTAGCGTAGTGCCTAAGGCATTTGACTGCTAACCAGAAGGCTGGCAGTTCAAACCCACCAGCCACTCCTTGGAAGGAAGATTGGGCAATCTACTGTGGTGATACTGCCTCAGAAACCCAAGGAATGGTCGCTAGGAGTCAGATCTGACTCAATGGCAGTGAATGAAATGTCCTCCAAGTTCATTCATGATATGTGGTGTTTTGCTGATTCTGCATTATCCTTTAGTGTTGCATAGTATTCCATTGTATGTATGTACTATAGTTTGGTTAACCATTCTTTTGTTGATGGGCACTTAGGTTGTTTCCATCTTTTTGCTATTCTGAGTAGTACTGCGATGAACATGGTGTGCATATATCTGTTCTTGTCCTGGCTCTCACTTCCTTAGGATATATATCTAGTAATGGGATTGTGGATCAAATGGTATATCTAATTGCAACTTTTTAAGGAATCACCATATTGATTTCTGCAGTGGTTGTATCATTTGACAGTCCCACGAGCAGTGTGTAAGACTATCAATCTCTCTACAATCTTGCCAGCATTTGTGATTTTCTGTATTGTTGAACTTTGCTTTTAGTGCTGGGGTGAGATGGTATCTCATTGTTTGGATTTGCATCTCTCTAATGGCCAGTGAGTGTGAACATTTCTTCATGTGTTTGTTGTCTGTCTGAATATCTTCTTTGGTGAATTGTCTATTCATGTCTTCTGACCATATTTTAACTGGATTGTTTGTCTTTTTGTTGTTGAGGTGTTGGAGTTTCCTATAAATTTTAGAGGTAAGTCCCTTGTCAGATAT